GGTTGTACATCTGAACAGTCAAAATTCCGTGGAGAAAAAACAGAAATCTATATAGAAATCAACCCAGGAGTACAGAGTCGTCGTGCACACGCAACAAAAATTCTTCCGCGATAACTACGCTAAACAGCCGCACGGAGCGCTGGGTGCACGGTCGGTAGATTGTGGTGTTCACTTCCAGAGGGACTTGCCGACCGGCGCGATCTTCAAATGCATAAAGTACGTAGAGTCGTAATGTAAATGGGAGAGCTGGCGCCATGTTCTGCTCGACGAATTCCGAGCCCGGTGTGCGCCGAGTTCGGGTCGCTTTTTCGATACATTTTCGATCCAAAATGGCGGTGTGGAATACGTGGTAATTCCTATCTCCTCTGTTGTTGTTGTTGTTGTTGTCATCGGATGGCCGGATACCCGTGTATCGCAAACAATCGATTATGTATCGAAAAAGTGACCCGGCGTCACTCAGGAGTCTCGGAATTCGGGACATGGAAAATGCTTAAAAGTGCCGCCAGCTCTCCCACTTACATTACGACTCTATGTACTCTATGTTTAAATGCTGCGTGCATGATCCGCCGCCGCAGAAAATGTTATTCAACAAATATAATATGTTATTCGGCGGTACCGGGCTTCCTATAGATTGAACTATAATTGTTTGAAGAATATTAAAAGTGAGTTTTAAAGCCGCTAGGGTTTTGAAGAGTTTTTTTGAAAAACCAACAAGAGCGAACTGCGTGCTCTTGCGTTTTTAGCTGAAGAAAAAGCTGAAAATTTCAAATGTGCTTTTTCCTGTTTCAAAGGTATGACCCAAGCGTTGCCTAGTATTTTCATAGTTAACAAAGATTTAAACGAAATAGCTGTCCTGGAGTGACTGTTTCCTGATGTCATTATTCTTTTGTGTAATTTTCGCGTAATCATGTGCGTGAAAACTTTAGTTTCCATTGCTTCCGCAACAGTTGAAAAAGAAAACGAATTTCTCACTAACGTTAAAAGTGCAATGTACTCCCGCTCAGAATCTGATTATTCAAAAAAAAAAAAAAAAAAAAAGGCAACTTTCATGCAGTGTAGCAATGACGTTTAAATTCGTGTTAACAAGAAATATGTTTTATTGACAGAACAGTTCTTAAAAAACTGGGATAGGTAGGTCCCACCTGAGATGTCGAAAATGTAACCTAAGTCCGGTGTTGCTGTGTGGCGTAACCCGAGTTCAGCGTTGTCGTGTGCCCTAAGCTAACCTAACCTAACCCAACCTAACCCAACCTAACCTAACTTAGCCTAAGTCGAGGTTAGGCGACGGAAAGGGCGTCCATCCAAAATTCACTATCCAAGATGGCAGCCGAGGCCTAAAATGCTAAGTCGGCTCCTGTTTCCTCGATTTTCATGAAACTCGGTATCCGGTTGTAGTTCTCAACGGGAAACTCGAATTTTTGGTCAGATTTTCAAAAATTCAAAATCCAAGATGGCGTCCATGGCCTCAAATGCTAAGTCGGTTCCTGTTTAATCGATTTTTGTGAAACTCTGGATCCGGGGTACTTCTCAACGCGAAACTCGAATTTTTGGTCAGATTTTCAAAATTTCAAAATCCAAGATGGCGGCCGTGGCCTAAAATGCTAAGTCGGCTCCTGTTTCCTCGATTTTCATGAAACTCGGTATCCGGTTGTAGTTCTCAACGGGAAACTCGAATTTTTGGTCAGATTTTCAAAAATTCAAAATCCAAGATGGCGTCCATGGCCTCAAATGCTAAGTCGGTTCCTGTTTAATCGATTTTTGTGAAACTCTGGATCCGGTTGTAGTTCTCATCGCGAAACTCGAATTTTCGGTCAGATTTTCGAAATTTCAAAATCCAAGATGGCGGCCGTGGCCTAAAATGCTAAATCGAAACCTGTTTCCTCCATATTCGTGAGACTCGGTATCCGGTTCTAGTTCTCATCGGGAAACTCGAATTTTTGGTCAGATTTTCAATATTTCAAAATCCAATATGGCGGCCGTGGCCTAAAATGCTAAATCAGCACCTGTTTCCTCGATTTTCGTGAGGCTCGGTATCAGGTTGTAGTTCTAATCGGGAAACTCGAATTTTTGGTCAGATTTTCGAAATTTCAAAATCCAAGATGGCGGCCGTGGCCTAAAATGCTAAGTCGGCTCCGGTTCGCTCTATTTTCGTGAAACTCGGTATCCGGTTATTGTTCTCAGCGAGAAAATTCGAATTTTTGGTCAGATTTTCAATATTTCCAAATCCAAGATGGCGGCCGTGGCCTAAAATGCTATATCGGCTCCTGTTCGCTCTATTTTCGTGAAACTCGGTGATTTCTGACGGACTCTATCGATTTCTGGCCGCAACCGCTCTTTAGATGCTTGGCCACAGTCGACTCGATAAATCGATCAGGAGTCATGCGGGAGTAATACACTATTGCTTTTTTTTTAAAGAATTTTGAGCTATCGAGTGATGGAATCGTTGCATGTTACGGCTTTTGACGGAAATAGTGTGGCCGATAAGGCCTGCAACAATCGGATGAAATAGTATTCTCTATAGAGTTGGAGCTAAGATAGAGGGTAACATTTATCATAATTAAAAGAAAGAAAGGAAAAAAAGAAGAAGAAAAAAAAACCGGCGCTCCGCTTCGCTTCGCGCGCGTCTTTTCAGGGTCGTCTGCACATCAAGTTTTTCCTCTTTTTAAGTGTCCCGCGCATCCACCGCGGGAAGAAAGTGTATTTCCCGAAGTGGGACTTTTGTAGTCATAAAATCGTACGTCTGTAAGTCATTGTGTAATGGATGGTTTTTCCAGATATTTCCTTTCCTTGGGCCGCTGTGAGACGAACAGTTCGTCCGAAAACTTTCTTCACCTGACCCACCGTGCGAATCTTCCTTCCCCTGAACCACTGAGCGACGAAAAGCTTGACCCGCAGTGCGACGAAAATTTTGTCCAAAAACTTCTTCCCTCTGACCCACTGTGCGACGATCCGTTTGTCCAAAAACTTTCACCCCCGACCCACTGTGCGGCCCTGCTCCGGCCGGCTCCCCTCATGCCGCGCACCCCTCGCCTAAAACTTTCAAAGCTCGCCATTTTTAAACGGCTCGGCCGATTTGGCTCAAATTCAATACCAAACCAGTCCTATAGAAGAACTACCACACATAAAAATTTCAGCTCAAAATATTCATTTTCGCTCGAGTTATCGAGTGGACAAGATTTGACCTCCCCCCACTTTCTAGCCCCACCCCTCAAAATCTATTGCCTCAAATTTCAATTTTTTTTCGCAGAATAGTAGTTCTAATGAGTCTCTACTAAATGCAAAAAAAATGGTCAAAATATCTTTCAACGTAAGAAAGATATAACCACTCAAAAATCGAAAAATCTTCAAAAGGCGGAAATACATACACACCTACATACATACACATAGTTAGTTAGTTAGTTTTAGTTAACGACGATCAGCATCTAGGCTATTTACATACATATATACATACATACATATATAATAAACATTACATACATATATATATGCACATGAATTTGAATGGCATACAGGGTGATCCAAAAGTCCCTTCCACCCCCTCTAACTTTTTACCTAATTGAGGTAAAGATTTGAAACTTGGGAGATATTCCTAGGTCAAAGGGAGCTACTTTTTGGCCCCCCTAAAATTTTCAGGGGGGCCCCCCTTGGGGGCAACGGCCCCCAACTTTTAATTTTCAAATGGGAAGACCCCCTTTGTGATAGCTCCTTCGAAAGAGCATAAAAAAAGGAAACTTTTCGCGCAAACCCGAAGTCAATATCTCAAACCGTTTCAAAATGGCGGCCGGTTAAAGTTCAAAATGGCCGAAAATTCACACCGGTTATTTGTCGATGGATTTGCGCGAAAATCGGTATGTAGGGGTATTTTGACACGAGAAAAACGAATTTGACGTTAGATTTTCAAAAAAACCGAAATTTCCAAAATGGCCGCCGGTTAAAGTTTAAAATGGCCGAAAATTGTCACCTCGGTTTTTTGCTGATGGATTTGCCTAAAACTTGGAATTTGAGAGTATTTTGGCATAAGATAAACAAATTTGAACTTAGATTTCTAAAAAAATCAATTTTTTGTCATTTTGAACTTTAACCGGCGGCCATTTTGGAAATTTCGGTTTTTTTGAAAATCGAACGTCAAATTCGTTTTTCTCGTGTCAAAATACCCCTACATACCGATTTTCGCGCAAATCCATCGACAAATAACCGGTGTGAATTTTCGGCCATCTTGAATTTTAACCGAACGCCGAACGAGCTATCACAAAGGGGGTCTTCCCATTTGAAAATTAAAAGTTGGGGGCCGTTGCCCCCAAGGGGGGCCCCCCTGAAAATTTTAGGGGGGCCAAAAAGTAGCTCCCTTTGACCTAGGAATATCTCCCAAGTTTCAAATCTTTACCTCAATTAGGTAAAAAGTTAGAGGGGGTGGAAGGGACTTTTGGATCACCCTGTATATTTTCGTGATCTACGACCCGTGATCGGTGCTCTTCACAATGTCTCAGGTCTGGGTCCGACATCATGGGAGAATGCAATAGTGTATTTTCTTCGGAAAATACACTAAAAATATCCCTGGACCCCGGATCGGTGATTCTCAGTTGGACGTGCGCAAACACGGATATTAGACTCAGTTAAGCGTGATGCGTGTATTATAAAAGTCGGAATTTTCTGTAATAGTGGTGGTTATGATGTAAGGCTAGTTTTTTATTTAAATTGAACTTTTTTTGAAAACCGATTATATAGTTAGATGACTTACTTTCTTATTATTCTTTACGCACAATGGTCATTTCGGGTGGGCAGGCCACCCATCTTCACGTGACTGAATAAGGAAGTAAGTCATCTTAACTATAAAATCGGTTTTCAAATTCAAACAAGTTTTCGAAAAAAAGTTCAATTTATACAAAAAATTAGTGTTCATTGTGCCGATGAAGTTTCAAAAATAGTGCAGTATGCTGCAACTATGGTACACTATGATAGAAGGCTCTAAGCGTAGATGAAAGTGAGAGAGTGTGCTCAGGTTTGGTGGCCCTGAAAAGGGCCGTTGTGAAGAAGGGTGGTGGAGTATATGTTTACTTCTTCTTGGGTGCGGCTTTCTTTGGGCTTTTCTTGACTGCAGCTTTCTTGGGTTTCGGTGCCTTCGGCTTCTTGGTGGGTGGCTTGGCGACTTTCTTGGCCTTCGGTGATTTGGCTGCCTTGGGCTTCTTCGGAGATTTGGCTTTTTTGGGCTTGGCTGCCTTTGGTTTCTTGGCTTTTGCCGCCTTTGGCTTGGCGGGTTTCTTGGCTACCTTCTTCTTCTCTTCCTTGGCTGGGAGCTTGAAGGATCCGGCGGCGCCTTTACCCTTGGTGAGGATGAGTTTGCCAGAGCCAGTGGCGGAGATGACGTACTTGCGGATGAAAGGTGCAAGTTTGTCGGCATCCACCTTGTAGGTGGCGGCGATGTATTTCTTGATGGCCTGGAGGGAGGATCCCTTCTTGTCCTTCAGGGATTTGATGGCCTCGTTGACCATGGTGGCGGTGGGAGGGTGAGCGGCGGGCTTCTTGGGCTTGGCTGCAGCCTTCTTCTTAGGAGTCTTGGGGGTTGCCGGAGCGGCAGCGACTGGAGCGTCAGACATGGTTGAGAGCGGTGCGAGAGTAGCGTTCGAATTGAGAGAAACGGAAGATACGAGTGCGAGTGGCGAGGTGGGGAGTATATTCTTATCCCTCGCGCAAGAGCCAAAAGGAACAAAGCGGGAGTATTTGCACTGTTCATTTTAATTTGTTTCGTTCCGTGTTCGTGACACTTTTCTTTTCTCTAAATTGCTGTATTTTTAACCAATAATTAAGAGAGATCCCCTCTGAACTATGAACTACATAGTTTGGTCTTCCTATTCAACGAATTTTTCTGTCCCGTCGCGAGGTAATATAATTAATCTGGACTGGGTTTTCTGGTCATCCCTTGTTATGCGCTTGGGGTTTCTCGAATAAATTGACGATTCTGTAAGTTTTTTGAGAATTCACCGCGTTAAGTTTAGTGCAAATTCAATTCTGGACGTATTTGGCTTTCAAAAAAAGTCCGACCTCATCAAAATCGGTGGAAGAGCGCCGATTTTTCGGACCTCGAAGTTGGTGTGTCCGCACTCTGAATCGAGTTCTCTAACCTGTGTGAAGAGACTAGGCACCCGTTTTCCTCCCCAAAATTGATGTTTTTGGGGGTAGTAGATGGTCTTCACTAAGGGTATTTGTTATGCAGTATCTTCTTTGATAAGAGACTCCTAAAAAATGGTGAAAATCCCCGATTATTCGACATTAGAATCGTTCAAACGCGCCGTCAAGAATAGGTACTCCATGCCAGTCCTATTGTCTTGCTGTAAGGCTGCATTCGTCCTGCAAAGTGAGGCATTGCTCGTTGCATTTATTTTGATAATTAAAAACAGAATAATTAGCGACCCTTGAGGAGCCGAAATGCCTGGAATTTGAACTTCTCAAATTAATGGAGGTCATCTACCTCCACGGAGAGTCAATGTCAAACGCCCCGCAATGGAACTGAGCATAGCGCATACATCGCTCATCCAGCTACTTACCAATTCCATCGTGTACATTACCATCACGAAACGTTTCGTTAGAAGAAGAAAGAACTCGAAAGAACATCACAAATATATACATTAGTAAGTAGAGAGATACGAAGATTTAATAAAATAAATAAAAAGGAAAGTTTTAGAACGACGGATGAAAGGATTAATATTGCTATATAATAGGGGAGACCGGGGCTATGATAACCATCGTGGGAATTTTGTAGGGAAAAAGGTAAATTTGATGTTTGATGAGAAAGAAGGTCGGCAGCGATGTAGACTAACAGTTTAAAACATCAACATCGATGGTGTCCCCCTCAGTTATGCTCTGTGCTATAACATTCTTCTTTATCTTCGAAAATCGCCCGAAAATGCGATTTTTTTAATTTTGAATTTTTTTTGCTGTGGTGCAGAGTATTTCTTTTATATTTTATTTTTCTTTGTTCCTATTTGAAGGAGACCCCCTTTCCTTTCATTTTAGTGTATGGATTTATGGTTTTTGACCCCTTGTTTCTTAGTTGGATGACTTTGATTCGAGGTAACCTCAATCGGGGCTATATGGACCATGTTTCTGGGGCTATGTTGACCTACTAAGAAAACATACTTTTTACATTTTTTTCGCGTATGGATTCAAAATCATTTTCTATAAGTTTAAAATGGTCTTATTTAGTGGAGCAGTAGATCTTCTTCTTCTTTTTTAAGTATCCTTTCGTACCCACTCACTTATTAGATTTGATACTGTTCTTTAAAAAAAAAAAAAAAAAAAAAAAAAAAAAAAAAAAAAAAAAAAAATTATGTCAAAATTTTCAGCTCCAAAGGTTAAGGAGTTTTAAGCTCTTTTAAGTGCAATTACGATCAACTGAAGAAGGTTCACATAGCCTCCTTACAGGTGGCTCACTTAACCCCGGGGTTGATCAACATAGGACTAAGTCAACTATGTTGACCAAAATGGATTTTTTTTTAAAAAACGAATGAAATTCACAAAATTAAACTATTTTGTACAATATTTTTGGTTGATTTTAATTCTACACTGTATGCTCAAGGATTAGAGCATTCAATCCTTCTGTTTCTTCGGACACAAGTTTGCAAAAAATGTGATCAACATAGTCCCGGTTTCCCCTAGTTTATGTAGGGAGTTTCAGTGTTACTTCTTAAGTATGTCATTACATACTCATATGAGGCATGATTTGCTTCTAGTTGTGCTTTCTTGTTAGATATCTGTAGTTTTTTCAGTGAAAGCTTCTTATGCCTCTCAAATGGCACTGTTTGCCGGCAGGCCTTAGACGTTGTAATTAAAATTAACATTTTTCGAACGAACGAACAAACAAACGAACGAACGAACGAACGAACGAACGAACGAATGGATGAATGCGACGGTCCCTCACAAACGGGGTGAAACCTCTTAATGGCGCTCAATTTCACTATCAGCAATTTAGCGCCGAAAAAAAAGTATGAACTAAAGAAATCTGATCTCTTTGCTGCTGACCGTCTCATTAAACTGACTGACTTGACTGACTGAACTGACTTCACAAACTGACCTGATGAACTTGGCAGGCTGGACTCGACTTTCATAAAATAGCCATAACTGCTGATCGTCCCATTAAATTTACTGACTGACTGACTGACTGGACTGACTTAACTACAGAGCGTATAGAAGGTTAGAGGCCCGACTCGGTGCTAAAACAGGCGCTCAGCTTGTTGCAACGTACGCAACTAATCTACTACTCTATTGTTTTCCCGTAACTGGCGGCGCGTTTGTTGCTGCCGGAGCACCTCCACATAGGCGATTTCTCATGCATCATCCCTCCGCAACTCTCGCTCGTCCAATCTGCGCGGAAATCCGTTCGCCGCGCACTCTCGCGCCAACGTAGGCAACTTCTTGCTCTTACGTCAAACTTGTGTTTCAGGTCTTCCGCACCCTCTATACTCTGCTCGACTGACTTGACTTGACTTGACTTGACTGGCTGGCTGACTGACAGACTGACTAACATGGGACATGAAAAAGAGGGATGAAACACAATACAGCCCGCATGCAAACAACAATAAAAACACATTTAATACAAACCAGATGGGTTTACAAGGCTAAGGAGATCGAATAAACAAACCAGGACGTTTCGGGCCAATTAGTGCAAACAAGAAGATGAGCATGCAACAGCATGCATGCGAGTTTGCACTAATTCCTACTTTGAGCAGTTGCTTGCTCATTTTCTTGTTTTAATTTGAAATTTTTTAGCTTATGTTCCAGTTGAGAATGGGCATGTAATTGGCCCGAAGCGTCCTAGTTTGTTTATTCGTTTGTTCCTAGTTTGTTTGTTTATAACATCGGGCAAAAAAACGAGGTTAGTGGCCATCGGATATTGTCGGATTTGTTCGGGACTATTCGAAGAGATTTGATACAAATCTGGACGAAAACAACTCGAATAAGCGAAATTACAGCCGTCGAGCGGTGATTGTCGACAGCCATTTTCAGCGTGGGATTCCGGTATAGGCAGGGTATTGGTATAAGACGGAATTTCATGGCCGTACACAACGCGTGCCTGGAATAACCTGGTGTGGTGCTCGTACATTTGGTGGCCCTGAAAAGGGCCGTTTTAAAGAGATGGTTGTGCGGTGATTGTGGCAAGCTGCTTAACCTCCGAAACCGTAGAGGGTACGTCCTTGACGCTTCAAGGCGTAGACGACATCCATAGCGGTGACAGTCTTCCTCTTGGCGTGCTCGGTGTAGGTGACGGCATCACGGATAACGTTCTCAAGGAAGACCTTCAGAACTCCGCGGGTTTCTTCGTAGATGAGTCCAGAGATACGCTTGACTCCACCTCGGCGGGCCAGACGACGGATGGCGGGCTTGGTTATTCCCTGGATGTTATCGCGGAGCACCTTACGGTGACGCTTGGCTCCTCCTTTTCCGAGTCCTTTACCTCCTTTACCACGACCAGTCATGATTGCGCTACTTCAATCTCACGAGAAAGAATGATGGCCGAAGGTGTGTGCGTACCGTTTTTATACAGTCGCTCGACCGAAGTGAAGCGTTGCGATTGGCCGAACCGCTTTCCACTTCCCGCGAAAATGAACCAATGAACGGTAACAATGAAGCCGCGGGGTCGCGGTAAATTCAAAAGGAGTGGAGGGGCCTTGCTACGCTTTCAAAAACGATGCCGCGCGCGGGACCTCGTTGGAACTATTGTGACGTGTACGAGGGTAGATGGGCCAATCAGAGGAGTGCTGTGCGGCTCTTACCCTCTTTGCATTACCAGTCGACAACTGAACGTCGAACGGTTAGGTTCTCGAGCCAGAGGGACTGAGCGCGGTGCGCAAGCGCAGCTACGCGCGTAGCCCGTAGCCTGAGGGAAACAGCAAGAATTTGATGAAGTTTCACGTGAAATGATCAGTTTTAGCGATTTAAACCCTGAATGAATATATAGTGGACTCTCGATAATTCGAAATAGAAGTGAAGGGAATCGGATTTTTCTTCGAATTAGCGAGGTTTCGAAATAAAGAGAGTTCGAATTAAAGAGATTCCATGTGGAAAAATTTCGAATTAGAGAGGTTCGAATTATAGAGGGAAGGCGCCACCTGAATTCGAATTATAGAGGGGCAAATGGACGGATTTACGCCAAAAGGTCTTTAGGTCAAAGGCCAAGCTCTTTTAGACACTCAGGTACATAAACACTTGACTTCGAATTGTAGAGGGAATGTATCGTCTTATTTCGAATTATAGAGGGAGGCCCATATTTACTTCCCACACTTCGAATTACAGAGAGAATTTTCAATTTCGAATTAAAGAGGGTCGCGCCAGCTTAAAAATTTCGAAATAAAGAGGGGAGAAAAATACATTGATTTTTTTTTCGAATTATCGAGAAATTTTCAAGGGAAACAGACTTTCCTTCGAATTAACGAGGTTTTCGAATTATCGAGGTTCGAATTATCGAGAGTCCACTGTAGCAATAATATATTTGTACACGTCTCTGTTCATACTGGTCTAGTATCAACCCGACGTGGATTAATAATCGCACTCCGGCAGTATTATTGGGACGTATCACCATGCTCGTTTCTATTAATTTTCTTATATCTGTTGCACACTCGAAGAATAAAGGAAGTAGGGTCCGGGTTTCCTGGGTTTCCTGCAATTCAAGATGTCTTCGGTGCGGGCGGCATACCTAGCCTAGCTCCCAAGATGAATGGTCCAAATGTCGAGGAAAAGATTCTACATATATCTTTCACTTGAAGCCACCTGATCGTAGTAGTTGAAATAAAGAAGATGGACAATAACAGTTCCTCTGTTGCTCGTCTTTCAAATTTTCGCATGCCTTTCTGGTTACTTCGGCTTGTTGCCCCTCAGTTACATTTTAGGGGCACATATCTTGATTGACTTTGTATTGTTGTTACGGGTCGATCATGACTTGGGACCGATCGCGAGCCGCTCATCTTCGCTCGAGGTTTACATGAATGTTTCACGAGAGTAGGTAGGTTTTTGATGGAAACCAACTAAATATAAAAACTAAAATGAACGAAAAAGATTCAAGATTCAAGATATTTATTGTATCGAATAGAACACATAGAATGTTGTGATACAATTATAATGGCTTAAGATTAAAACTGTAGGTAGGTAAATTCATATCCAAAAAAATAAAAATATGATTTTCGTATAAAATTTCGGCCCAATCCAAAAAAAAAGTCACTAATTACCAAAACCAAAACCAAAACCAAAACCAAAAAAAAAAAAAAAAAAAAAAAAAAAGTCAGGCACCCAAAAAATATGATGGCAGTACCGTTTGGATTCATCATTTAAAAGGAAATACTATCAAAATGGCCTAATTTCCTCTTACATGATATACTATACACCCCAACGTTTTTCACCAAAAAAAAAAAAAAAAAAAAAAATTAAACACCTATAAGGTATGATGACCTGAACACGTTTTGATCCATCGCTTTAAAGGAGTGTGATATCAAATCGGCCTAACTTCTCTGAAATATGCCCATCTCTGATCAATAATTTTTTCGAGACCTTCCGACTCATTGCTGAGGAGACATGGACAAGTATCATCGTCAAAAGGAGAATCAGTCCTTCTCGAAATCGTCGTTGAAAGATAGACTGAAAGATATTCACACATGAGTGAACAACCATGCCAAAATTTCGGGGCATACCAATGTACCTATTTTTCTATGGAACTTCCGTAACCCTAAAAAAAAAAATTCCAAAAAAAAAAAAGTACACATATTTCTTTGTTCGTGAAAATAAAAAAATAAAAAAAAATAAAAAAATAAAAAAAATAAAAAAATAAAAAAAATAAAAAAATAAAAAAAATAAAAAATAAAAAAATAAAAAAATAAAAAAATAAAAAAATAAATTTAAAAAAAATAAAAAAAAATAAATAAAAAAAGAAATAAAAAAAATAATAAAAAATTAAATAAAAAAAATAAAAAAATAAAATAAAATAAAAGAAAAAATATCTTAGGACTAGGTCGAATAACGGCTGGTGTTGCTGGGGGACTCCAGCGGCCGATACCCGTTGATTCGGACTGATGAGTGTTGAAGACCGATGCGCGGTAAGCCGGGCATATTCAAATATTTCCCGCGCAATTCCAACTGAACCTGCTCCTACCTCCTTAAACACCCCTTCAATTAAAGGCGGAGTTCCGATCTACGGTCCTCCCTTATTTCAAATAGACCAAGAGTTTCATATAAATATACAGAGTGGTGCACATGTCAAGGGTTTGTCGCACCCGTTCCTTTCCGCGAGCAATAACGGGATCCCACTGAATCCCGCTAAGCGGTAACTCGAACTCAAATTCGAATTTATAAAAGGGATAAACAACTTTTCCTTGCCCTTCCCCCCTCCCTACTCCCGCTCTCGCGGAATTTCAATACGGATGTTCCCTGGAAGTAGGTAACGGGTCTACGCGTCTCGATTATACAAAGTCCATACAATTAAGGATCCAACTGTGACCCCTTGATCCTCTTCCCACCGTTTTGGATTTTCGAATTTCCAAAATCTCACCGAAAATTCAGGTTTCCCGTCGAAAAATACCGCTCGATACCCAATTTTCGACGTGATCGGAGTAAATCGAGCCAAGATAGTGCTTCAGGCAACATCCGCCATTTTGTATTTTCGAATTTCCAAAAAAAAATCCCTCGAGAGCTTCCGAACCCAGGATGGTTAAACGCGCGTTATGCGAAGAACTTTCTAAACACCCTGGATTTTCTGCGTGTAGGATCCTTAATTGCATGGACTTTGTATAATCGAGACGCGTAGACCCGTTACCTACTTCAGAATAGAGTACCTGTACAGCGAGAGTATGGACAGATCGCTTCATGGAGGGCTTAGGGCCCAAAAGTGCAGCCACCCTTCTAACCAACTTCTAACGCACAAAATTTCACTGCCAGTCTGCAGATTCCAATTCCAACTAAGATGGCTAAGAATGTACATAAATGAGCGTTCTTCCTCAAAATTGAGTAAATTTATGCAAAAAATGAGTCAAATACATGCTTTATAAACGATGGTTCGCAGAAGCATCGGTGAAGGCCTGATGGATTTTCGGAGTTTCACATCTGTCCATACTCTCGCTATACAGGTACTTTACTTCAGAAAAGTGCGGATGCAGCTTACCTATTCAGGGAACATCCGTATTTAATTGCGCGAGAGCGGGAGTAGGGAGGGGGGAAGGGCAAGGAAAAGTTGTTTATCCCTTTTATAAATTCGAATTTGAGTTCGAGTTACCGCTTAGCGGGATTCAGTGGGATCCCGTTATTGCTCGAGGAAAGGAACGGGTGCGACAAACCCTTGACTTGTGCACCACTCTGTATATTTATATGAAACTCTTGGTCTATTTGAAATAAGGGAGGACCGCAGATCGGAACTCCGCCTTTAATTGAAGGGGTGTTTAAGGAGGTAGGAGCAGGTTCAGTTGGAATTGCGCGGGAAATATTTGAATATGCCCGGCTTACCGCGCATCGGTCTTCAACACTCATCAGTCCGAATCAACGGGCATCGGCCGCTGGAGTCCCCCGGCAACACCAGCCGTTATTCGACCTAGTCCTAAGATATTTTTTATTTTATTTTATTTTTTTATTTTTTTTTATTCAATTTTTTTATTATTTTTTTATTTATTTTTTTTATTTATTTAATTTTTTTATTTTTTATTTTTTTTATTTTTTTTATTTTTTTATTTTTTTTATTTTTTTTATTTTTTTATATTTTTTTATTTTTTTATTTTTTTTATTTTTTTTATTTTTTTTATTTTTTTTATTTTTTTATATTTTTTTTATTTTTTTATTTTTTTTCACAAAAAAAGAAATATTGTTTTTTTTTTTTTTTTTTGGAATTTTTTTTTTTTGGGTTACGGAAGCCGTTCCATATTTTCCCCCCTTTTTTTGTACGTGCCGGCCGGCCCATTCCTTTTCTTTCTTCGAATTTTTTCTCAATTTTATGACGATTTTTTGGTGAAAAACGTTGGGGTGTATAGTATATCATGAAAAAGGAAATTGGACCATTTTGATATCATTTCCTTTTAAATGATGAATCCAAACGGTACTGCCATCATATTTTTTGGGTGCCTGATTTTTTTTTTTTTTTTTTTTTTTTTTTTTTTTTTTTTGGTAATTAGTGACTTTTTTTGGATTGGGCCGAAATTTTGTACGAAAATAATATTTTTGTTTTTTTGGAAGGAGATCATGTATTTTCGGTATGACTTCTACGCAGTATCAGGCAAAGAGAGTTCCCATTTTAAATTTAAAAGTTGTTCCCGGTAATGGCTTAAGATTAAAACTGTAGGTAGGTAAATTCATATAAACAGGTATGAAAGATATATAATGAAGGGATTGTATGAAGTTTCCTATTGACCAATAACTTTTTACAAGAGGCATCTTTCGGAAGATTGAGTATTGTCTCGAGTTTTTTTTTTTTTTTTTTTTTTTTTTTTTTTTTTTTTTTTTTTCAATTATGAAAATTGTTTCAATATGAGTTTTACTGATGAAATATAG